CTAGACGATCTGGGCGATTGATCGTGATGATTTGATGCAGTTTCGAGCGTGAGAGTGGGCTCATGAGCCCTAAGCGGCCCCGCAGCGGGACTGCATTCCATCGAGTCACGGCAGAAACCCCACGTTGGCGGGCCTCGATCATGCAGGAGAATGAGAAGCTTTAAGAAAGACTTATTAGGTACTTAAGTACGTAATCGATTGACGATATTCGACAAGGTACTCCGTAAGCATGCCGGTATATGTGTTTTCCACTCCGCAAGTCGGAGCCTCATGACTTAGTCACTTGGCACTGCGCCGTTGCAGCTACAGACGGATCGGACTCCGACGTCGCCTTGAGCGTCACCACCGCCGTGCTCGCCGCATCGGACGCGGCGCCAACCGAAACGTACGCCGTCTTAATCTCGCCGAACTTGGCCGTGACAAGAGCATTGGGCAAATCCACCCGCCAGCCGGTACCCTCAACTTCGGCGCTCAGCCTGTAGACGTCTGAACCTAGGAAGGCGGAGACATCCTCAGGGTGCTGGGCCGCACCAGGGTCGACGGCGACGTAGGTGCCGCTGTTGGTCAGCTGGAACGAGCACGTCACGCCCTGGGTAGCAGCCGTGCCGTTCTTGGCGCCCGTCACGGCGCCATTCTCCAGCGAGACGTCGTGGGTGCTCGCGCCGCCTTCGCCCGTCAGAGAGCGGATAGCGACAGTGTATGAGAGGATACCCTCATCATCGCGGTGACGGTCGACGATGTAGAAGTGCAAACTGTTGGGCACATCGATAAACTCAAACTCGCTGCCAGAGTTCGTGCCTGCGTGGAAGAGCGCGTCAGCGAGCTGACGATAGTCGCCGAGGGTGATCATCGCCACGGAGCCGTTGGGCCGGTAAAAGTCAATGAGCTCAATGTCCTCTGGGTTTGCGTCGATAACCCACTGAAAGGGCTGGTTGTCGACATTCTTGGACTTGCTGAGCAAGACACCGGAATCCGGCTGGAAAGAGTCTGATCCCATGCGGTCCACAACTTCGATGTCGTAGTTATCCCAGCTACCGCCGTCGCAGAGCACTTCGGTCGTGATGTTGCATGCCGGGGATCGGTCGCCATCCATGATAATGCGGACACCCATCAATCCATCGCCCGGATCGACGGACCGAGCAACCAGGTTGGCGACAGCAACTCCAGAGGTTGCCAGCCCTTCGCGAGACAGCCACAGGATATCAGTCTTGTCAATCAGTCCGAGCTGGAACTTGTCGCGCAAAGTATGCAACGAGCCCATCGACGCACCCTTCAGCGCAGGGATCTGCCAACGGGTATGGGGACCGCCGGGGCCGTTGAAAGAGCCGCGCGACATCATGGACCACGGCCCGGTGTATGCTCTGCGCAGGGGAAGACCATATGGGTTGTTGTAGTTATCGCCGATATCGAGCAAGTGGCTCAGCTCGTGGGCGTAGACAGCCATGCCAGAGCTCTCGCCTTGAGTAGACGAGCCACCACCGGCGTTGGGCCAGAGTGTCGATGCCGCCGCCCAGGAGGTCCAAGGAACGTAACGTGTGCGCGCATAGTTGGTCTGGGAGCTGTTTCCCTTTTTCGGGGGGCCGAACTCATCGGGTACGTCTTCGGGACTATTGAACTTCATCTCGCCAAACTCTTGCCATGTTGAGGATTCGTCTTGACCGGCAGAGAGGATGAAGACCAGCTCAAAGGCATCGGCAGTGGCGTTTCCGACCTCGGCACGCCAAGCGGCGAGCGCATCGGTGCGAATGTTCAGGTCGCAAGTCTCTCCCTCGGGACAGGCACCTGGATTAAAGCCGCTATCAATCCCGTATTGATAGCCGTTGCCAGAGAGCTGGTAAGCACCAAAGGCGGTCAGATCGACTCCGAAGCGGCCGACCGAGTCCTCCATCCAGTACTCGTGAAGAGTGTGCCCATTATTCAGCTCATTCGGCGTATTGAGGAGGTCGCGGTAGAAGGTTGGAACGTTCTCCCGGGGGATGTCAGCACCTGCAGGCTGAGGGTTGTTGAAGATGGTCGAGTGCGCCGGCTGAGTGATGACGAAAGGTCTGTCGGGGTAGTCGACGACGACCAGGGCGATGTTGAAGTTGCGGCTGGATCCCTTGCGCGCCGGGTCCGACCAATTCGTGCCTGGTGGTGGAATGAAGTCACCCCATGTCATGTTGTCCGGATTGACCCAGTCCTGGGGATCAATCGGAATGAAAGGCGTGTACGGGCTGTCCGACGCCGCAGCAACTGGGCCGGCGATGAAGGCACCGAGGGTGGCTCCCAAGACGGCCTGGAAGCCACTGTTGCCATCGCGAAACTGCATGTCGCCCAAGATGGAATGAAAGTTGAGCGGTGACGTTCGAACCAGCCACCAGCAGATGCTCACGGAAGCCAGCAAGGCAAGAGAAGAGAGCAGGCGACGGGGCAGACTGGCGATAGATAAGTACTTGGACAGCAAACGCGACGCGGTCAATGAGGTAGTACCGACCTTGCATCTCTGACCTCATGAACGTTCCTCCCCCGCCCCAACGTTATCTCATTGCGGACCTTCATTGATGTATCGTTTTGCTCTTTACGAGAGAGAGAGTGACTTGCGGTTTGCCAAGAAGTCTTAATCTCGTCGTTGCCCTTGTGCAATGGCACCTGCTGCTTCAGGAAAGAGTCCATGTCCACTTGGACGCGCTGATCAGTAACCACATGGGGCTCTTGCCGGGTGACTTTCGGGATGCTCGGTCGTGCCCAACGATCCAATACGACAGTATCTCAGATGCAAGCTTTTCGAATGCGAGAGTTAAGGCAATCAGATTGCTTGGTTGAACAAGCTCAATGGGAAGTTGTAAGATGGTTCGTACGGAGTACTCCGTAACTGCAATCGATTAACGGGTGTGGGGGTTTTACGAGATGAAATCCAGGAACCGCCACGGCTCGGTTGGGGTAATCGGATTTAGGTGGCGGGGTAGGCCGACATGTGGATCCTCAATCTCGGCACGGATGCGACCCGGCCAGTTTATGTAAGCACCCCAAAGCGAGCCCCCATATCTGCATTGTTGCTCATTCCAACACACCTATAATTACAAATCTGGATACGTGCATTTTGATTTTTGATGAAATAATTGCCTCTAGAACGTTTCGAAAGCTGTCACTCATGTCACTCTTCATTGTCCGATAAGTTTTCGACTGAGGTCATTCTCCTGGTATTTCATACGTAAGTGAGATACCTTGCGGTAGTTCATCTATAGAGACTCTACTCCCTGACTTGACGACCGACTGATACTACTTGAGATGGAAAGCTCTGGGCTATCCACCTCATCTCCGACGGCGTCCGCTGTAACTCCTTCCCCCAACACGCATCGTCTCATCCAAAACCATCCAGAAGAGCCAACCCTTGACATTCTCATAAGCCCATCGTTTCGTAGACTCGGGAGTTGCGTGATACCCACCCAGCCACAACACGGCAATGATGCTGCAAACGATGTCTCGTCTCACCAACTCGTTTCCGCCAAACTCGGCAACGCCCAAGAGCATTGCCTCACAGATGACATAGGGCCAGTAGTTGCTGGGATGCCACACAAATCCCATGCCCGACCCAGTTTCGATTCGTCCGTTCCGAATAGTTGTGTTGCTAGGGCCCGGAAGAAAGACGGCAAGAGGCGATCTCAGCCCTGCGATACGCCACTGGAAGTAGCAGGCCGATAACATGATGATACCGGCAAAGAGGCGGTCGAAAAGGGAACTCCCGTCAATGTTGAGAGCCCATACCACCGGCGTGAATGGTACGGCGGCGGTGTAGAGAAGTGCGATGAGGGGAAGGGCGGCGAATTGGCGGGTGAGGATGTTGGCCTTGCCTGGTGGGCCGGACCAGGCCGTAGAAGGTCCCGATTGTGGGGCCGGTCTCTGTCCTTTGAACGGCGGATCGTCCACCGGGGTTTCGTCGACTTTGAAAGACACCATAATTTTAACGATAATAGGATCAAGTGAATGCTTTGAGGAATTGCGTCTCCGCGGATTTAACCCTCTTAGATCTAATCGGGCGACCTTTTGCAAATGGTTTCAACGAGCGTTACGAAGGTTGGATTCTCCAAGACAATAGTACCTAGGCAATATTGAGTTCTGAGGAGAAGTATCATCTGGCATTTATATTCGCATTCCTAAGCTGTGCCACCAGCATCGGGAGCCTGTTGCCTACTCTGCCTCAACCAAAGTTTGAAGGGATTCGGACCACGACATTGCTTACGGTTAGTTTCTAGAGCCTTCGACAGGGATCCTCAGCCACCACCAGGCAGCACACCCTATTTAAGCCCCCGCGGTGACACCTAACCTGATCGTTGCACAATCGCGACACGTTGCATCCGGCCCCCAGCCTGTCAGACCCTTCGGAACTTTGGCTTTTGTCAGGTACTCTGTTGGATTAATTCTTGGCCAGCTCTTACCGTTGGTTGGTTGTGGCCGTAGGTACCTGCATGTGGATTTCCAAACGCGCATTACCTTAGCTTAAGAGGAAATCGCGTGTGCCATCAAGTGGGACTTTGGCATTTTGACTGATCTCAGCAAAGCCTTCAGTGCACACATCAGGAGCATCGAAAGTGACTGAAACATAAAGAAGGGGGATTCCTACTAAAGGCGTCTTAAGTGGGGGATGGGAATACGCGACATAAATCTCGCGGATCAATCACAATCGTTGCAACGAATGAGGCACCCAAATCAAAAAGAAGGACCACAAGTCGAAAGCGACATGAAATATAGTGAGTTTTTAAATACAAGAATCGAAAATGGTCTGCTGCACGAGCGTCTCCATGTTTTTTTCGCTGCGAATTTGTAATCGGGTCGGTTAAGGCAACGGGTCCTGACCTCTTGGTAATTGAAGCCATCACGACATCTCCAAGATGTCACCCACTATCCCGTCCAAGCGCCTTTGAAACGTCCCGAAAAGGTCCTACTTTATACAGAAGAAATAAAATCAACTTCTCTCGGAGTTAGTCCAGCCGCCTTGGGCTATCGCGGTTCTACCCATCCCTCTACTGGTACGTCTTCAACAGCTCGTTGTAGTAGTTGTATCCAGTGCCCGTCTCGGGCTCAAAGGAGAAGATGTAAGAGCCCCACATCGATCCAGCGGCCCAGAACGCCGCTCCCTGCCACACGTCGCTGTTTTCCTGGAGGTAGTCTAGCAGACCGGCGACGGCCTCCTTGCACTGGGCGTTGGCGCCGCCGGCGAACTCGCCGAGAACACCGACCTTCTTGTTGGTGCGGAGCCACGCGGTAGCATCCTTGACACGCTCGACTCCAATGGTGGCGGAGACACAGTCGGCAGAGGTACCGCTGCTGTCGCTGTCGAGGTACTGGTGCATCTCGTAGACGGTCTTGTCGAGAGGATCCGTCAGGCCCTTCATGTTGTCGTTGACGCTCGTCCAGCTGTGGGCGCCGGTCCAGGAGTTACCCTCGGCCCAGATCCAGTTCTCGGAGCCGGTGGCGCGGATACCGTCGATGGCGGCCTGGTTGAGCTTGAGGACGAGGTCCTGGTCCATGGAGTTGTACTCGTTGTTGGTGTCGAACACGACGTTGGCGTTGGACTTGAACTGCGTGGCCAGGTTGGTGAAGTAGGTCTTGAAGGCGGCGGTGTCGGTGATGATGTTGTTCTGGAAACGGCCGTAGTTGTGGGCGTCGAGGACGGCGTACCCGCCGGCGGAGGTGATGTGCTCAATTGCCTTGGTCAGGCCGGCGAGGTAGGCGGCGTCGAATGTGCCGGTGAGGCCGCTGGGAACGAGACGTTCCATGAGGTAGCTGACACGGAAGGTCGTGTATCCATCATTCAGGAGGGTCTAGGGCACGTAAGTAAGTTTTCAGGCCAAGTATCTACCTTCCGATTTCTGAATGACTCACCGTGATGGAGTTGGTGTCAGGGAAGACGTAGTCTTTGCCGACGGTACCGGGAAGAGAGCCGGGACCGAACTCGGCGCCGGACTGGTTGATACCGAACCACTTGAACTTTCCGCTCTTGACGGGAGCCGAAGAAACAGACGCAGCAGGGGCAGACGCAGAGGTAGGGGCGGCAGCCTTGGAGGACGAAGAAGCCTTCGTGGTGACAGGAGCAGCCGCGGTAGTCGAGGGCTTAGCAGCAGTGGTGGTAGGCTTCACCTCAGCAGCAGAGGGCTTGGCAGAAGTAGCCGAAGACTTGACGGGGGCACTCGAAGACTTGACGGGAATGACGATCGAGGCGGCGTGAGTAGACGTCGACGAAGCTGGCTTGGTGTCAACGGGCTTCGCGGATGATGACACGGAAACGACGGCGGGGGCCGAAGTCGAAGAAGGCGAGCTAGTCGTCGTGGGCACATGCGGCGCGACGTCGCTGGCGTAAGCCGGTTTGGACTTACAAGACCGTCTCGTCGATGTCCTCAGGGTGGTAGCCTGGGCCTGGGCGCTGACGGCGCCGGCGGCGCTTCCTTGAACGCACTGGCTGTAGTATTCGTTCTGGACTGTGCACGTGTAACCGGACACGCAGGTCGTCTCGCCGGTGAATCCCTTGCCGCCGCAGGGCATGTAGGGGCCGGCCGCGGCCATGGCTCCGCTGACAAGAGCGGTGCTGAGGATGAGTCCCTTCATGATGAATTCCAGATTCAGGGTAAAAAGAGAGTGTGTGTCGAAGTCTGAAAAAGAGTGACTAAAGTTTTGTGAATGAACGTGGTGATGCAAAAGAGTGTAAGGCCCTGAACGAGGGAGAAGAAGAAACCTGGTGGGATGCAACGAACAGCGGTATTCTTTCTTCGAAATAGCAAGTCTGGCTCGAGGTCTTATATCCGTGTTACTCCTGGAGTTGAGATTGCCGTCCCAATGCAACCTAGACTGATCATGGTGCCGACTGGCCGGAACGGTGAAGGTCGAGATCCCTGCTATGTGGATGGGATTCGTGGGGCCACCGCACCCGCTGAATCGCCCCATCGCCCTCTCGCACCGGTTTGGCCCCCGTGGGAGGTGACGTGAGGGGCAGAATTGCTTGTTTGTGGACACGCGAAGCACGATCTGGTGGTGTTACCGGGATATTGCCTGCTCTCCCTTCATTTGGTTTCTCCTCCTTCATTTCCTTGGCGGCGTTCTAGAGTGGTTCTTTTGGTGGTTCGCCACTTCACCCGGCGGTTCATCTGGCGGTTCGTCTGATGTTTGTGTCTTTGTTGGTTAGACTTCCCGGGGAGGCAAAGGGATGGATGCGGCGCAGTGGGCAAATATTGGGCCAACCACGCGGGTAAATGAGCACGTTACTTTACGAAATCAGCGCACTCCCGGAATTGTGTCATTAAATCATCAAGTCCCAAAGGATTAGGTTAAGGTTCGACCGTTGCAATCTTAGATATAGTTGAAGCATTCAACGATGCTTAACTCAATATCCTGTTGTTGACCCCACGCTGATGATTCCTCTGCATCTTGAAATCGAAGCCCCCTCTCAAGACATGAAGTTGGTTTGTTTCCTTCACCCAAGCTGCCAAAGTCTTGGCTTTGCTTGGATGAGGACGATCTTTCTGGGGCAGAGCCCGGCCAGGCTTGCGTGCCGTTTACGCCGTGCCGGATCCGAAAGGGCGAGTGGAACCCTCTAAGCCGGGCATCCGAGTCGTTTCAGATTTAGAGTGCTTAATTCTTTTTAACTTTTTTTGCTATGAGCTCCCACGGCTCACACACCACATCGGGAGAAGCCGCACTAGCCCTACAAGGGAGTCTCCGCAGATAGTAATTCATCTCCGTAGTATCTCTCCATTGAGCTTAAGTAGCTTCGATCCCTACTTTCTCCTGGCAGGCCGCAGCGGCGTTTATCAGCTTACTTATCTGCGCGACGGTAAATTAAGTCCAATGGGCATCTTACCCCATGGCGCTGGGTCAATTGAATCAATACTTCGGCGAGGTTGGTTCGTTGTCATTGACACAGGCTCACCCTCGCGGTTGATGAAATCCCTAGGTCAAATGTCTCAAATTCGCACATTTGCACAAATGTCATCATTTGCTCGTATGAGAACAAAATTGACCAAATACGGCAGCCCGTATTAATAATGCAATGCTTACGAAGACGCTTGTATTGAGACCTAAAGCCTCTAGGCCAGACCAATGAAGGGAATTGTGCGGTTGTACCTAACGTCTAGCTGGCTACTAATGCGGACTCATGCCAACTCTTGGGTGGTCTCCCTGAAACCCCCATACTCTTCTGCCCATTCATGTTATTAGGCCAATTAGAGAGGTCATGTATCTAGAATGAAGGTGGGCACTTGAAGTAGCCCCTGGAACATGTTCTGGATGACGGGGTTGCTCTCTGAACTTCGTAATAGATAAGTCGCTTAACTTAGATAGAGTAACTACTTAAGTACTAGTCAAGTGTTGTGATCTGCACCGCCCGTCTCGATAGGACGAGCGCTACTTGTGACGCAGCTAACTACAAGTTAGGACTGCTACGTATGGTTCGATGGACAACAGTGGTCTGGGCATAAAACCCGATTGGCAGTCTGTCGGTTGCTTATTCTTGTCTGTGACAATGGCCCAGCCTCCATATCAAGGTCAAAGGTCGATTGAAATGGATCAGAGACTGAAACATTTGGAACCCTCAACAACACAATCCCATCTCTGTTGACCCTGTCGCAAGTGACTGTTTGTGTTGGTATACACGTAGGCAGGTCAGACCTTTCGGTCGCGACGAGGTCAATAGGTCATTATAGGTCTATTGCGTGTGTATAGGAGTGGAAGTTCGTGGGCAGGGCCCGCGATCCCTCTGTGGGTGTAAGTGGGTGGAAGGGTCCGTCTGCACGGGCCCAGACTGCCTACCTACCACCCCTACCTAACTACCTAATAGGGTCCCTTTTCTGCCTCGTAATCCAACAGTTTGTAAGCAATGCATACGTACTTTAATTATATGATTTGTCTCTAATGAGAACCTCTTTCTTGTCAAGATGTCCGCAACTCTCCTATCTTTATTACTGAATCATGAATCCACATGCACTTCGTAAGAGCACTGGGATATCAATCCTTGTGCAGACGGGCTGAAACCTGATATGCCAAATTCTCATAGCGTACCTAACAGAAGGGAAGACGTTGTGTGGTCAGATTGATGCCTCACTGACAGTTACTTCTCATATCTTGGAGCCATGCTAGAGGTCGCCTCCAACTGACGATTCTTCTGGTAAGTGTCAATTTACCACAATCTAGCACCGACTCTGAGTGTGACGTTTGTCAGAAGACGCGAAAGATTGTTAAATTCATCATGACATAGGCAGTTGCGCTTTCAATCAGAAAATTTATTCATGTTTAGTCAGATATCTGGAAGTGAGCTGCTACAATTTTTGTTTGTTGTTCAAACTGAAGACGGCATCCCAAATCGCCTCCTAGGTACATCTAACAGTCAGAATCTGGGGGTGAATCTAAGCTGCACGCTACGACGCCATTGGCCAACTTAGTAGAACCTTCTCGAGTAACTAGATTGCATTAGTTCGCAAGGGCTATGTTCAGAGAGCGCAAGCATCTGGGGACAGACAGAAACTTTGCGATGCGCGATCTCTGAAGCTAAGATAACCACTTACTGCTGGGTGTTGTAATAAAAGCAACGTCCTTAGGACTGTTCTCAGGATCGGTACAAGTTTTCCAACGGAGCGAAAACTTGGTGCCTCCAGGAATCCCTAGTTCGTCGGACCGATTCTTGATGGCGTACTCGACATCGCCCTTTCTGATAGCCGAGGGGACTCCAGTGCCGTAGCAGGCTAGTTCAACAGCCGACGCAGTACCAAACAAGATCATAACAGCAGCGTGAATAATGGTGGACTTCATGTTATCGGCGATGCAAGTCTATAAGGTATGAAGCGAATGTGGTAGAAAGAGAATGAGTGAGGTGAAAAGGCTGATGCAACCGATACTTGTCAGGTACTGGACTGCACTTCTTTAGTAGTTCTCTGCAGTATTATATATAACGTCTTCCAAAGCTCAAGCACTACTCGAGGCAGGTTGATACAGTCCACGGTCCTCATAGTGATCGTGGAAAAGTCAAAGTTTTTGAGTCATGATTTTAGTTCGGCGACTCCTTCGGACGTCATTAACCCCGCGTCGCTATGACATGAATACCCAGTGGGCGCACTGCGTCGTCAAGGATGTGCTACAGGCCGGCCAGTACGCAAGACTGATGAACAAAGGGCTCTCAGCTCACTTTCGTGTACTTGACAGAAATGAGTTGTCAAGCTTGTTGAGGAGGACCTTGCCGTTGACCACAGGAACCATATCAAGAACTGCGTCCACCGTTGGTGCCTCGTTGATGTGAATATTTCCTCCCAGTCGCTTTCAACACTACATGTACCTGGTGTTGCGAATTGTCCGGCGAGAATCGACCACAATCCCTGAAGACGTTAGTACACTTCCCCAGTCTCATGTTGTTCGCCCCTTACGATGCCTATTCTGGGATTTGGCCACTTTTGTGCACGCCTTTGGATAAACACTTCTCAGCAAATCTTCATAAGGCTTGTTATCTCGATCCAGATTGTATTGATTCATTCAATTTATTGGTTGCTCATCAGGCCGTTCGCCAGATTTCCTCAACTTACTTCATTGAGCGCCTCCTTATAGCTTACACTACTCTCATGAGCGATCAAGCGCAAATACCTGAAACTCGGCCGCCCACCACGAGTGCCGCATCAAATGACAGTATGACCACAGTGGGCGGCCGAGTGAAGCAGCTGCCCGTAGGTTACGAATCTAAGTACATTCCAACGAGTCAGACAGCTTATAGACGAGACATACCTGTTGGCTTCGGCTCTTTCTCGCTTCATCCACAGAAAGGTTCAAATGTCTGTTATGAGTCATGATTGGGAGGTTCCGGATCGCATCAGTCTCAAAGGGGCCACATGAGCGTATTGCACACTGGCAGCAAGTAATGCTATCCCATAGCTTCAAGTATGGAGAGACTATAAGTGCCTGTGACATTGATTTAAACAAGCTACCAATCGCCTATTGCCTAGATATGTGTTGCCCTTTACTTGTGTGGATGGCACAGCCTGCATGCAGCTTTGAATACTGCTCTGTTTTCTCGTTCCGACAATATCACAGTATGAGTGACTGTCGTGAGCTTGGAAAGGGTTTCTTTTTTCTCAACAACCTATATTCTTCGTCTTCTGTCCTCTTCCTTCTGGTGGCCGGCCTCAAGATGACTCTTAAGCCATTGATCCCCCAGCGCTTTCTGAGCTGTCACCGCAATTTATTCTGTATGTCCTGTCAGGCCGACGCGACCCTCATACCTTCTTTCCATGTTTTCTTAGCACATCGCCTTGTGTAGCTGCATCCTGCTGTTTCGAGACATCCCATACTGACTGCCAAATAAGCACTTCGCTCTTGTCTTCGCTCGAGCTGTCTTAACTTTTAGCGCTAACCAAGCGATCTCGGTAGGGTTGAAATCAGAACGTTAAGCTTCAATCGCCGTTCTTAACCGCCTGTGGTACAGGTTCTTGCAGTAATTAATATGCCTATCACGGCGCGCACGGGTGCCTGCATGTAACCATACAAGAAACCCGGCGTAGAAGGAGAAGTGCCTCTATGTCTAAGTCTACTTTGAGAAAGAGTTTTGGATTGAAGCATCGGCAATTTGATTTGTTTGTCTGAAAGCTGCCTACTTTATGTTCGAGTACAGTGAGGACCCATTAGTTTCAATACACCTACCCAGTGCGTCAGCGTAAACCCACTAACTTTATTATATTAATATAAGTAATATCTCTACTATTTAAGTAATAATTATAGCTAAGAAAATTCTGAAAAATATTTTATTATTAAAATAATATAAAAATTATTTTTATAAAATTTTCGTAATTTTCTTTATTACTTAATTAGTAGTTAAAAAACTAGTACCCGAATTTTTTAAAACGTACTAATAAATACAGTATTATTCGCACTCTTAACGCTTTATAATCTACTATAAGTAAGATTTATCTTATTATATTTTAAAAAAGATTTAATAATATAGCGAGTTTAGTATAAAACCTAATATAACTTTTTAATATAATAAATAATTACTTAATATATTATATTATATTTTTATTTTTATTTTATTGTTATGGTTAATGCTTGTTTTTACTGTTGAAAATCCCTGATTTTGCTGGATACTGTGCGCTGTATGGACACTAATGGGTCCCCACTGTACTACATCAGTATTGTGGATATTCGTTCCGAAATGTCCAAACACACGGGCTTGTCATCAAACTTGGATAATCCGCACACCCTGGCTCCCTTTCCGTCAACATAGATGCCTGACTTCTCCAGAATTGCCGGCCTGAATGACCACAATTGATACACAAACATCACGATGCCGCCGACGCGAACAGCTAAGTCGGACGAGGCCAGGAAGGCAGCGAATGCTGCAGTGTACGGAGTGAGGCCGGGCTTCCAGGGCGGGCCACCAGCTCTCCCCGGCGCGTCTTACGCGACACTGGTGGGCCACTTCGCGTCCGGCTCACATGCGGAGGTACCCTATGATCCATTCACCCCGGGCAACATCAAGGCAGAATATCCCATGTCAGTCAAGGCCGAGCCGCAGTTCGATCAAGGAAAACCTGTATCTCAATTCGCCTCAGACGCCGCAGCTGCTGTGCAATTCGACGCCGATGACTTCAGCGACGATGAGGATCTCAGCTTCAACGAAACAGCACCGGCACCGAAGAAGACCTTCAAGCCGAAGACCGCAAGAGCACCGCGACCCACAGGACCCAGAGGATCTGTCAGCGCTTGCTTCCGAATTGATGGCGAGTGGCAGAACCAGCGTGTCGAATGGCTCGGCCATGCCACGAGGGCGGTGATGTTTCGAGACAAATTAACGCCGTGAGTTGCCTTGCCCACTGAGTTGGGAGACTATGGAATACTGGGGCTTGCCAGAGCCGCGAGGCCCACACCAAAACTGACGACATTGCCAGGGCACACATTGACACGCTGCTCTCCTTCAAGGAAACCTGCGAACGCCTCACTTCATTCAGCTTCGACTATCACGACGTCGACTATGATTCTACCAACTCTGCTACGGAGCTTACTGACGACGATGTCATCAAGATAGCCCATGCCTGTCCTAAGCTGAAACTCATTTCCCTCCCAGGCACATCGGGCCTCACAGAAAAGGCATTTCTTGCGCTGTGCAAATATTGTCCCGACCTCACAAATCTGCACATCAGTACTGCCTCGAGAAATGAGTCGAATACGGGCCACAACATAGTATTTTAGGCGCTGACAGATCATCCGGAGTGGGTGCCAAAGTTGAAGGAGCTTCGTATCGCGAAGATGAGCTGGACAAGCAGCGTACTGCGAGTTCTGTCGAAGGCACGACCGAAGCTCCACATTGTACTTGTATCAACCAGAGAGGAAAAGAAATGGGGTGATTGGGAGTTGGTACACTCTCAGTCTGAGTGGTGGAATGGAAAGTGCCAGGACAGGTCCGGAGTGGCTAAGAGGGAGCAAAGGAGATTCAACCAGTCCATTGAGAATGGCTATTGGTAGGAAGACTGAATTGAGATTGAGGACGAACAAACCCCACTCTCAAAGTCATCGGATGGCTTGGATAGACACAGCTTTCAGGCAGATTGTGGTGAAAGGAAGAAGAGTTGTCAGAATCGAGTTTTGTACATTTTGATATGCTCAACTATTTCCGCATACGCAGAAGCTAGGAAGCCCGCTGTCCGCCACATAAACATAGTGCAACGGGGAGGAGAATTTCGACCGACGAAGGAATGCGGTTGGAGTTGCTACTTCTGTCCAGAATAAGTTGGGTTGGGTGCATTTCTTTCAGCGTTCATTTATGCCGAGCACATGATTGAAGACTCACGCTGCCAGTAACAAAACATAATCACTGTCAGGTTGTGCCTGTTTGCCTCGCCTAGATGTTTTGATCAAATTTTCAGAAGTCGGACATCACCATAGCGGCCTACCTACTCCAATCCTATCGAAGAGATGTTTTTTTCCGAAGCCAACACCCTTGAACCGGACATCATCATTGACAGCTGCGTCTAATTCACCACATAACTACGAGTAAGATTTCTGTAAGTGCTAGAAAGTTTTGCTCGGGTCATTCTCAACAACGTCCATCGTGCTCGACTAGGGTGTGAAAGTCCCATATGAACCAAACGTGAGCTCCTATGTCGATTTCAGCATCTTGGCAAGGCAACGAAACGTCGTCAGTTAACGATTCATCATCATCATCATCATCATCATTGGCATGGGAATTATCATCGAATCATTTCAACTTGCACAGAGATTGAGTTAGACATGTTTGATTTGCATACACCATTCACTCGACTATATCAGGATATTCGGGTTCCTATTGCAAGACAAACAGCATCGTAGAGATAGACAGCACAAGAGCCAGCATTTCCCAACTAGCCCGCAGCGAGCCAGCAGCATTCTCATCCTCGTCGCCGGAATTCCCCTCATTGTCATCACCGTTTCCGCCATCTCCATTGCCCTCGCCTGATGCCCCATTCACGTCTCCAGGGCCGGCTGCCCACTTGAAGCTGGACACAACCTTGTCTGTGTACCCAGGAACTGATCCTATGGTGTCATCGTCGTTGGTGGTCGAGCCCGGCACACACTTGGCGCCATTCCACTTGACATTTGCCACCACGGTCCATAGACTGGTCATGTTTGTCAAGGTCTCCCAGGTATAGTAGAGCTTACAATTCGCCGCCTCATATCTGAACTGTACCGGGACGCCATCGAGATCGTCGTCGAGGTATATGTTGGCTGAGTTGACGGTCCAGGTATCCGTAGGTAAGCCCGCGAGCGGGGGGTTAGACTCGGCAAAGGGCGTCATATCGATTCCCTCTGGGGGCTTGACGAAAGCCCCGAGAGCAGGATAAATGGTCTGATAAGGTCCCAGCGAAATGACTGGTCCGCCCTTGGTTCCTCCCACAGCTTGCATCGGCGCATCGATAGGTCGTCCCCCCATAGCCACGACTTGAATGCCTAGCTCCCGGGTCATCATGCCGACGATGTAGGCACAGGCAGACGCGCAGTGTCCATCGGTGAGAATGACCGTGTCCTCTGGCTTGAACCACGGCTCTGGGATCTCGAAGATGCCGGGCAAGCCGGTACGGGCGTAGGCTACTTCCCAAGGTTGCACAACATTAGTGTAGTTGCTGCCCTCGATTGTCTCAGGGCCGTAAAAGTCCTCCCAGCTTGTGAAGTTTTTCAAGTCTTCGTCGACGAAGCCTTTGAAACCAACCGGGTAAGGGAGGGACTTCAGGTCTGCGCCTAGTCTCTCAGCAGTCCTTCCGACCCAATTCAAAGCAGCGTGCGCCCGAACCCGCATATTCATGTGCGCTTCTGCACCGGCCTCTGGGAATAGTGTCGCATATAGGCTCATTGCGTTGGCCACAAGACCACCACCGTTACCCTGCAGATCTATGATGAGCTTAGATTTGTTCTGGCTCTTGCTCCTATTGACGAATTCGCTAGCAACCCTGGCAAACTCTATGGGATCCTCGAGCGCCTCAAGAACAGTTCTAGCAGTTCCGTTTTGGGACATGAAGACATTCACAGCCAGTACAGCAGTGTCTTTCAGAGTCGACTCGTTGAAGAGGTAGCCGCTGATATACCTGTCTTCGTGGATGACAGAAGGTTCAGGATACCCCTCCAAGGCCGGAGAGAATGGAATTCTCGTAGTATCGAGGGTGACTTCGGCTTCGCCGTCATCAAGCGGTACCTCAAAACGCTCATGAACAGCTTGACCAGATGTAATGCCGGAGAAATTTGCAACAATGCGAGCTCTGTTGACGACAGTTGCCTCCGTTCCGTTGGCGAATTCAATGACGCTTTCGTCACCGAGGGTTGTGTGTAGATGCCTGCCAGCAGTCGCCGTCTCAAGGACGTTTTCTAGCGCTTTGCTATACAGTTGCTCATTGTAGGCCGCATCGGGATCCTGGTCTCGAGAGTTGTCGACAGACCGCTGCTGAATGTAGTCGACAATGGGCGCCGTATCGAAGGACTTGACCTCGGAAGCATTATATCCTTGTTCCGTGCTCTTCTGGTAGTCAGCTAGTAAGGACTTGCGTTAGTGATTTCTGAAAGGCAGTCCCAGACCTATCCCTTTGCCCCTTTCCGAGCCTTCGCATATAAGAGAGGGGAGCATGGCCAGGAGGGGAAATAACATTTATGAAATTCTCCACTCACAGTAAAGGTAAATCTTGGGAGACTTGATGCCATCTTCTGATATCGATATAAACATTGCTGGCGTAGAAAAGCTGATCAGTACACCCAAAACGGGCGACCAGGACAAGTGCCCATCCCGAGGCTTGACGTTGATCAGCCTGTACAGATCAACAGTGAAGTCGATTTGAGACTCGTAACCTCCATTCTCGAGCGACTGGGTAATGTTGTCGAGGCCACCAAAGATATCGACGCCCGGGTAAAGGTACTGTTCGGGAGGATCTAGAAGAATATCGACGGTACTCTGGAATTCAAGCCATGGTCGCAAATAGTGAACGAGCGCGGTATCTCTTTCAACGTCTACCGGAATTGATCGAAGGCACTGGTATGCCAAGGAAGGTTTCACCACAATATTGTCTGCAAAGTGTCAGCTTATGTTCAACTTGATGTGTCTGCAGTCGTTGCTGCTCCTTCATCCCCAGCTTAAAGCTGTCGCGTGGCACGGTGATGCGCATGCGAGCACGAACCGCCCCTTATATTTCACAAAAAGCCCGACAGCTTAGGAACCGCAACAGGAGCTCTGTAACGCACCCGTAGTGTTTGTCAAACTGGCTTCGTCGTAGACCCTTCCAATCTCGGCACAAGCTTCGCCACCTGCGACCTGTCTCCGGAGCGGCAGTGTGGATGCAGCCGGGGCGGCGACCACAAATGTCGTAAACGGTAGAGCTCGTGCGAAGAGCGATGTGAGCCGCACCATTGTTTTCACAATTGCTGTTCCGAAGCAATCGCTCAAGAGGAGGAAAGGTAGTTGACTACCCTCGCAAGGCGCGTCATGATCGGGTTACCGCCGTCCTTAAGAAGGCGCGCGCGTCCAAGACATTTGGCGACACATCGCAATTAGCGGCTCTTCCTTCTGTGGCACCAGCAAGCATACAAAAGTCCCGAAGTGAGGCGATGCACGAGTTGGCAAGGCTGGGTCGCATTGGCGGTGCTTGGCAAGACCAACAGCGTTTGTCATCCAACGAGTTGGGAGGGAAATGGCCTAAATCTGCGCCAACGTCTGATGAGGAGGAACCCGTCGAAACGGATCAGGGTAGTGCGAGGGGCCAACATCAGCATAAGTAGGCACTCAGCTTGGCCGCAAGCTGAGCTTTGCTCGTGACTCCTTGAGCATAGTCCTGGGCATTACGTAGGTGTTTTCTAGCCGTTGGCTGGCGTGTCTTGGAAATGTGGTGCGGTCTGTGGAGGTTGCCAAGACGGAGAGGATGCATTACAACCCCCGCCAAAGTGCACAGCTCGAAAACAGAAATACACAACACCAAGCGGTTACCCGAGCTCTATTGAACAGCCCTCAACCTCAATCATCTCGTCCATGAACCAAGCCTTCTAGCTACTCCATTGGTGACTATACTCTAAACATACCTGAGGTAAGGTAGGTGAAATAGGTAGGGTATTTGGAGAGAAATACATAGTAGACAAAACCGACCCGTCTTTCAGCCCCGTCGTAGTTACCGTAGAATTAGACTTCCGTTACCCTAACTGTCATTCTTTCGCCTTGTCTTTTTCAGTTCACACCTTAAGCTGCTTACACCTACTCTGTGTGTAAAGTTTCGATTCGTAATGTTCAAGTTGATTCAAATGATGTGGTGAAAAGTTTCCTAATTCGGTAATCGGAGCCGTTAAACGTGTTGTCTCAAAATCCGGCACCGGGAAAGTGGGGTAAGAACGGCAACTCGAAGACTCTTTGTTCGCCGCTTTCCTCAGCCACATCACTCCAATCCATCTGCAGGGACCAACAGCGTTGGCTAGATCGTGCTATCGCGTAAGCTTACCTCAATACTCAGACCGCGGGGTTCTCTTTGACTCATGCAAGGGCTCAAAGCGGAAGCTATAATGGAGGACCCGCAGCGGCCAGCTGGACGGACAGCGGAGGCTAAGCTTCATCAAGGAAACATTAAGAAGCATGACCGGCCCATTTAGAAAGCAGGGCGCACATGGCAGATGATAAACTTGCTCATAACTGGTGGACGTAAAGCGCCATGTGATAGATAACGCGGACCAAGCATCATCTCATTACTAATTCT